TGGTGCTGGCAAAACTGGATCTCCACTTGTAGAAGAATGAAACTAAACCCTTATCTTTCACCCTGCACAAAAGTCTATTCCAAATGGCTCAAAGATCTCAATGTAAAGCCTGAAACTCTGAAACTATTAGAAGAAAACATTGACAAAAACCTATAAGATATAGGTATAGGAAAGGATTTTCTAAACCAGATGTCAACTGTTCAGGAAACAAGGTCAAGAATCAACAAACAGGATCTCATTAAACTAACAAGTTTCTGTACATCAAAGGAGGCAACCAGGGAAGTGAAGAGAAAACCCACAGAATGGGAGAAAATCTTCACCAGTGACACATCCAGAATATAAAATGTTTAACATCCAGAATATATAATGAACTCAAAAAAACAGAGAATCAAGACAGGAAGTAACCCAATTAAAAGATGAGCTAAGGTGTTGAACAGAGTTCTCAAAAGAAGATGGCTAAGAAGCATCTAGGCTGGGTGTGGTGGCACATGCCTTTAATCCCAGCACTTGGGAGGCAGAGGCAGGCGGATCTCTGTGAGTTCAAGGCCAGCCCAGTTTACATAGTGAGTTCCAGGACAGGTGGGGCTACAGAGAGACAGTGTCTCAAAAAGACCAAAATAGAAATAAAAAAAGATGTTCAACATCACTAGTAATTAGGGAAATGCAAATTAAAAGCACTCTAAAGTATCACCTTACCCCAGTCAGACTGGCTAGGATCAAGAGAACAAATGATACCAAATACTGGTGAAGATGTGGAGAAAGGGGAACACTCATTCACTGCTGGTGGGATTGTGCACTCGTACAGCCTCTATGGAAAACATTGTGGAGAACTCTTAAAAAACTTAAAATGAACCTACCATATGACCCGGTTATAGCACTCCTTGGCATATACCCAAGGGATTCATCTTATTGTAGAGACACTTGTACAACCATGTTTGTTTCTGCTCTTTTCACAATACCTAAGAGATGGAAGCAACCTAAGTGTCCTCAACTGATGAATGGTTAACAAAAATGTGGTATATTTACACAAAGGACTTCGATGAAATAATGAAATTTGCAGGTAAATGGATAGATCTAGAAACTGTTCTACTAAGTGAAGTAACACAGACTCAGAAAAAAAATCAACATATGTTCTCCCTCATATGTGGATCCTAGAACCAGACTCTAATAAATGAGTATGCAACCAGACATAATTACAGGAACCAGGATAATGGAAAGGAAACAGGGAGGTAAAGAAAAAGAAAGAACCTGAAAGAGAAGAACAGTAGGAAACAGGCCTTTATAAGGGACATGGAGACAAAAATTGTGTTAGTTTAAGGGAGGGGGGGAGGGAAGGGAAGGAACCTAGGGGATAAAGGGAAAGAAGGAGCTCACGAGAGGTAGGACCATAAGAGAAGGGTATTATTAAGGGAGAAAGGGGGGGAATGGGGGCACCTTAAGTGGGAAAACTATGGTTGAGGGGTGAGACAATGTGAGAGATAAACAATGCCTAGGCTAGTTTTGAAAACCAGAGGGAACCATATTACTCCTACAACCTACTGAC